CCCTACCGGTCCAGGCTGAGAAGAACTTGCTGGGTCACACGGTCTGTATACACTCACTTTCACTTTGGTGTGGATGCCGAACTGCTCTCCAAAGTGCTGTCACACTTACGTTTCCCCCAGCAGTGTCTGAGAGTTCCCATTTCAGTCCTCACCAACAGCGGGTGGGGTATGCAGCAGGCAGGGCGGTTCAGAGGGATGAACCAGCTCCATCCACGTCACCACAGGGAGATCTCAAGAACACAAGGTGAGTGCAGAGGCAAGCTGCGGAGCATGAAGGGATGGTGGTGGACTACAGTTTTGTCTGCAATATTTCATTTCTTTGATTGAAAAATACTTGAAATAAGACAAAATAATGACAAATATCCATTCTGAATGAGGGGGAAATGGGAGTATTTGATATACTATCCTCAAGACTTTTCTGTATTTTTAAAAAACCCTCAAGTAAAAGGGGTAACTGATGTGCAGAGATTCCCAAAATATACTGAGTAAGAAATTTTTGGAGGACCTTCCAGATTTGGACTCAGTTTTCCCCCTACCAACGTTCACATTAGTTCGTATCAGTAGAGCTGGCTAGCCTTTCCTTGTGAACATTGTTTTAAAGATTAAATATCAAGGAATTTTGGAATTTCTTATTTTTAGCCAGTAAAAGGAAACATTTCCACAGAATGTAAAGTAAGTGCTCGAGTTGAAGCCTGTCTGGTTTGCTCCACCTAACTGATCCTATCTACAAATGTTAGCAAGGCTATTCTGGGCCTGGGATGGGGGAGCTGACTCACTGTGTGCCTCTCTCACCCCACCCGCACCTGTTTATTCAGGTGAAATCAGGTTAGAATGATTATTAAGAGCCTCTCTGGAAGGGAAGAGACGTCAGAGAGCACCCTGAGAGACCGCCTTAGACCAGGGATGGTGACAGCCAGTGGGGGTGGGGTGTGGGTGACATGCTGGCTTCCTACTGAGACTCCGTAACAATTTACTGAGCACCCAGGTTCCAGGTACAGGACTAATGTTTATAGGCCTTCCTTTGTATTCCCACAGAGGAAGCATCTAGGGCAAGTATTTGCAATATTATTTTATGTCCCTTTTTTGATACATGTAAAAATCTCATGCCTGCTTTTAATGTTATCTGAAAAGTCAAAATAAAGACTGAATAATAAGCAGATCAGATATGCCCCAAACCTGGCTGAGAATCTCTGGACTTAGCTTTTCAAGTGCCTTGAAACTCCTGGGTGTTTCGCAAACCTGGATTTGAAACTTGACTTGATCACTCATAGGTTGTGGGCCTCAGGTGAGCTTCTTACCTTCTCTCAGCTTCTGGCCCCCTTGTCTGGAAAAGTGATTATGACACCTGCCACTTAGAGCTGCTTTGCGGACTCCATGAGGCACTTAGCACCACTGCCAGTTACATAAAAACCAAAAACAAAAAGCCCTGAAAACTTTAATCCTAGTAATGGCCTTGGGAGGTAAACTGACCCCCTTTCACCCCATTTTATAGATGAGAATACTGAGGCTCAGACATACAGTTCGGCAAGTTACTTAACATAAGCACAGGCCTTGTGAGCCCGAGTCCAAGCCCTTTCACTGGACCAGCACTGGCCAAGTGTCGCAGGTGAGCTGTAGATTTGGAATCACCTTCTCCTCTGCCTGAGTCATTGGCCCCCGAAAACAGGGTTCAGAGTGATCTGACTCACATGGCCCCCAGGACTGTTTGGATCTAGTTTCCTTAGCGCTAGTTAAGTAAACACCCTACTAACCAGCTAGTGTGTGTTCTGCGGACTATTCTCTCAGCAACAGGCCCTTAAGCTTTATGTCAGAAATGGGACCAAGTCTCCTATTCTATCTCAATCAGCCACTGACGTCAGAGAAATAGTCTATAGATCACATGAATGGTTTTTAATGAAGACCTTCCCTGCAATATCTCATCTGAGTTTTAACTGTCATCATCCAACGGTTTTTTTTTGTTTGTTTTTTTTTTTTTTACCAGAGTGACAAAAAGAAAAAAAAAATAGGGAGGAAACTAAATAGACTTCACTATCTGTTCCCCTGATTCCTAACAGTCCTGCCCTTTCTCAGGTTGCTGAACCTGTTCGCCTCGGTTTCCTCCTCCATAAAGTGAGGGCATTAATATTTGTCCTGCATGCTCTGTGGGCAAAATAAAATGAGATGCTGTGTGGGAAGAAGACCTTTTGTGAACTTTAAGGCAGTTTTCCTCTCACATTTTCTCTCCTACCCTCCAGCCTGAGTCTATTCCTTCCTCCAATGGGCAAGAGGACAGTCTTCTGTTTTTTGCAAAGCCTTTCTCAGCAGAGCTGCCCAGCTGCGTGAGCTGAGAGGGAATCAAATGGTCCCACTTACAGTACAGAAGGAAGAAACAGAGCTCTGAAACATTTACCGAGTTTCTAGCATTTCTTAGGTGAGTCTCTACTTATTGGGTTCCAAGCTAAACTCGCTCCAGAAGACCTGGAATCTTCTCTCTTACCAGTTTTCAGCAATGAAGTCTTGGTCAAATTACTTAATGTGTCTGAGCCTCATTTTAAAAATGTGATAATACTTGTCTCACTGGGTGGTTGTATCAAATGAAGACGTGTTATGGTCGACAGTGCAAGCAAATGGCTTTTTCTCATCCCATTTTATGTTCTCTCCCTTCTGTTTACCTTTCTAAACCTCTATGCCTCAGCTTGCTTCTCCGTGTAAAGGGGGCAATAATCCTTGGCCTACTTAGCGTGCAGGGTTGCTGTGTGACTTTGGGGTGAAGGCTGTGGTAGGGCTTTGAAATGGCGAGGTGCAGTATAAATACCTGTGCGGGGTTATTGTCGGGCTTGCCGACCTCATGCTGGTGAGTTGTGTGCTGGTCCTCACAGGCCTAGAAGGTCCCTTAAGACAGCTGCTCTTGTCTGCTCCCCCTGAGGCCCTAGGTCCTCGCACATCTCCCTGCCAGGCTCTGCAGTCTCCGTACACCCGTCACCCCCATGGCTTGCTCCTTCTGTCTCTCTCAGTCCCTCTCTGGATCGCAGGGCACAGAACCATCCACCCACTATTCTCTGGACACAGAAATGGTGCCTGCCCCAATCCGGAGGGCTGTCAGAAGCTGCCCATCACATGACACCCTCACCCCCACTCCCCCAGTGTACCCTCATGAATACATACTAAAAAGACTCATTATGGGGAGATAAGGAAAACAGGAAGTGCTTCTGAAAGCTCCCAGCAACCCACCCTGTGAACAACCCCACCCCCTCCAGAGGCCACCAGTGTCGTTAGCAACAAGGCCACCAGCCCCCTCTGCGGTTGAGGAAGAGCTGCTGTGTTCAGACCCAGAGGGGACTGTTGGGCCTGCAGCCGGGAGGCGGGCCAGAGGCAGGGGAGCCGAGCTGCTGTACTCTGGGCACGATTTCAAGGCCAGCTGCAGGGAGAACAAGCAGTCGCTGTGCGCCTGCAGCTGGCCGCGGTTAGGCCAGGGCTGTCCCTCACTTGTGGTATATTTAAAGAGACCCCACTAGACAACCGTGCCAAGAGGAAAAATGCACACATATCTGTTAGCCACACTCAGTCCGCTGCCAAGGCCTCCCCTCCTTCAGCCGCAGTGCCCAGGCAGCGTATTTATGTGTAAATAGAGGAGGGCTGGCTCCTCACCCTCTCCAAGGTGTAGGTGGCCGCACCCACCAGCCACGTCCCACCTGGGAACACGTGGCTCCTGGGCCTCTGTGCCCTCTGACCAAGCTGGCGGAAAGTTCGGGGGATTAGCTGGTGCCTCCCACCCTGGTGTCAGTAACCCAGCAACTGAAGGGGAGAGGGGGGGAGAGGAGTCAAATACAGCTGCGGTGCAGAACCTCTGGCTTCGCGTTTTGTTTGTGAAAACTCCCTGTGAGAGAGCGAGGAGCGCAGGCTCCCTTCCAGCCCCAGTGCGAGGCTTTCCCACCCCGCAGGCCAAGTGCTCCTCAGAGGGCCGCCAGGCCCCACCAGCCTGCTTGCAGAGGCAGAGCTGCGGGCCAGGAGGAGCCCGTCCTGGCGGAACTCTCCGGCTGCCTTGTTCACTTGCTGTTCTCAAGTGCAAATAAGACTACAAGCCTGAATCCCAGGGGAAGGCAAGGTTGGGAGCTAAGAACTCTGGGCAAGAGAACCAATGGGCCTGAGGTTTCACAGAGTGGAGACAGGGCGGTGTGCAGAGAAGTTTGGGCCAGAGATCAAGGAGAGGTCCTCACAGTGGTCAGGGAGAGGACTTCGGGAGAGCAGAGGTGGGGTGAGGGGGTGGGAAGTGGGCAGCTTATCAACCAGGGGAGGGCAGCCGACAGGCAGACTGTCTAAGGCAGGCTGCTACAAGTGTGGAAGAGTTAGTAAAACACGAGTGCACCAACAGGATCAGCTACATAATTTGTGGGGCCTGGTTCAGAATGAAAATGCAGGGCTCTTTGTTAAAGAAATTACCAAGAAATTCAAGACCGTGCCAGAAGAACATTAAACCAAGCCCTTCCAAGCACAGGGACCTCTGTGGCCATACAGCTTACACACTCACAGAGCTGACCCTGGGTGCCTATGAGTCAGTGCCTTGAAACATCTGTGAAAACTGAGGCAGGTGAACCGGGAGATGTCTGGTCACTTTTGGCCTCAACCCCCATACTCCCCACCCCTGTTGTCCTGTGGCCACTAGTTCCCAGACTTTTACCAGGTTTGGGACATTGCCTATACCCCAACAGCAGTCCCTCTCCCTGTGCTAGGCTGTGGTGGGAGAGGGGCTGAGGGCTGGAAGGGACTGTGGCTCTGGGTCTTCTGGGCCTCTGTGGTCCAGAGCACCAAGGACGCTCTGGAGGGACCAGCAAAGGCAGGCCCAACACGTGGAGCCCTCTGAGTGTGGTTGTGGAGGTGTTTGGGAACAGGATGGAGAAACAACATACAGGCTACACTTGGGATCACCTCTTAAGGACCCAAGAGGATATGTCCTCCAGGTGTGTGACAATCCAGGAGCAGAACCAAGGTCCAAGAAGCCTTCTCCCCACTTGGGAACTTACCTCCAACTCTATGTGGTCATTGAGTTTCTTGCAGGTGGCTGCAAAGGTCTCCGAGGTGCCAAATTCAAAGTACCACAGCTTGTTCTTCATCCTGGACCATGAAGCAGAGAGATGGCTCAGTACTCTGTACTTGAAATGGTCATGTAAAATAGCTATGTAATTTGGATTGGAAGGCCCAAGCCCTCAGCATCTCTCAATCTTACATTTTCAGCCCTTGTTGATCAAGGAATAGAAATTTTTCCCAGCTGTTCTTACTAGGAACTTAAAGAAAATCCACTCATTTCTTAGGCATCATGGCAACTCTGGTTGAACTGCCAACTGTTCTCTGAACTTCCTGGTCAGAGCAGGGGAAAGGCTTGCCTGCCCATGTGTCTGCATTGAGGAAAGAGTTCCATGAAAAGTCAAACCAGAGGGGGAAAATATGGATAGCATGCTCTGGCCACAGTGCTATTGCTAATACAGAGGGACTTCAGGCAGAGCCCTGTTTGGGCTATGGTTGAGGTATGCAGGGAAGATCATACAGCCTTTTGGGACTTGAGGGTTGTGTATTCTTAGGACAGAGGAGGGATACCCCCACACCAACCCAGCTGAAATACATGCTGCCTTGCCTATGCTCTGACTGGGAGAAGTAGAGTAGACAGAATTAGACACAGCTTTGCAGGCAAGTTAGAAAGAGAAGAAAAAAGGGTGAGTTGTTTGGTGATAATAATCACCGCCCTCTTCCTCAAATGTATTTGGTTAGGCTTTGACAATCCTTCATGTAAGGATAGGTCTTGTCATATGTGCTTCAAAGTAAGAGTTCACCACTTTGGGCTTTAAAATTTCTCGACCTTTTATTTTAGGAGGAAAAAAACCCAAAAAACCAAAAAAACAATGGGGTTCCCATCTAGCTGGGGCTTTGCAAAGTCAGATGGTGTATCCTGACACTTGGTGGTTTTGATCAGATGGTCTCACCAGGAAGTGTTTCTGAAGGTATTCCATCCCTTCCACCCCAACTGTCACCCCATTATCAGGGCTGGCTGAGACAGGGGACACCTGTCCAGTTTACAAGCTGACAGATTTTCCTAAGGAAGGATTAAACAAAATCACATTCTTCTTGGCACTCAGGAGAGAGGAAGCCACTTTGCATCTTGCTAATCCTCTCTTTGGATTTGTAGTCCAAGGGGAAAGGAGCGTTCTTTAGAGGGAAGAGGACTCTTGTTTCTTCCTGGTGCTCCTCAGGCCATAGCAGGTGACTCTTCAGAATAACAGACACAACTCTTTTTCTCTGCATTCCCCCAAGAATCTACCTAGACCTTGAAGATGAGACTATGTTCTTCCATTGTGTGACGATTCTTGAGATCTAGTTCGTTGGGAAGTAGCTTTTCTAACACTTACTATGCATGAAAAGAAATGATAACTGATGAAGGAAATTAGAGTAAGCAAGGTCTAGGGAATTATACCTCATGAAAAATGTTAGAAGAACTTTAAACAGACCAGTACTTCTTAACCAGTGTGCTGCAGCACAGGTAGGCCTAAGATATCAATTTCCTTAGCCTTCAGAGTGGCTGGGTGGGGGCAGGGCAGGCTGAGCCCCAGTGCTACACCAGGCATTCTCATCTGTACTCCCAGCGTGCCAGATAGATGCTTTTGTTTCCTATGCATGCCATGATATTTGTTCTAGATCACCAGTACTCTGTACGCACAGTAATGTACATATATAAATCACCTGGGGATTTTGTTAAAATGCAGATTTTGATTAAGTGGTTCGGGGTTGGGGCCCAAGATTCCTCATTTTCTAACAAGCTGCTGATGCTGCTGGTCCAGGGATCGCACTTGGAGTAATGAGAATCTGGAGATGGCACCTGTGGTTCTCAAACGTTAGTATTCATGAAAATTACCTGGGGAATGTGTTTAAAATGTTGCATCCAAGGCTCCCATCCGTAGAGATTCTATGTGATAGTTGTGGGATAGGGCCCCAAAATATGCATTTTTATGAGTGTCCAGGTGATCATTATGCAGATGGTCAGTGGACAGGAGATTGAGAAATATTGCTCTAGATCCCAGTGAAATGAAAACCATGGAAAAGGACAGAACCGGTTAAACCTGAAGGAGAGGATTCTCTAGGGAGAACAGAATGAGGGTCAGTGCCTTTCAATAGCCAATAATGGCTAAAGACCAAGTAACAGGAAAAACACAGATCGTCATAAATGCCAAGGTTGAGAATTCCTTTCTGGCAGCAAGACCATCTCTGTAGCCAGGAGACTTGCATTGTGATTCCATTTTCAAATATCACTGCTGGTCTGAATCATGACTTTTGAAAGTTATTGCCAGGAGATTTAGAGTTTTAATAAATATTTCCAGAAGCCACAGCTATTTTTGCCCAGTAGTGCCTCTTCTGATGATCTAATAAGGTTAAGAGGTCCTGGTTAAATCAGTATAGCAGAATAGCTGAGAGGATCAAATGGACTACTCATCCATAACTGGCCACGTACCCTTTGGCAAGTTATTTAACTTTTTTAAGCCTCAGTTTCCTCATCTGTAAAATAGAAGTAAGAAAAATGTCTGCTTTGGTTGGTCTCAGTGGCTCATGCCCGTAATCCTAGCACTCTGAGAGGCTGAGGCAAAAGGATTGCTTAAGCTCAAGAGTTCGAGACCAGCCTGAGCAAGAGCAAGACCCTGTCTCTACTAAAAATAGAAAAATCAGCCAGGCGTCATGGTGCACACCTGTAGTTCCAGCTACTTGGGAGGCTGAGGCAAGAGGATCGCCTGAGCCCAGGAGTCTGAGATTGCAGTGAGCTACAATGATGCCACTGCACTCTACCCATGGTGACAGAGGGACTCTGTCTCAAAAAAAAAAAAGATCTGCTTTGAAAGGTATTTGAGAAGATTAAATGAGATGATAGCAAAGCACTTCACCTAATGCTTGATGCATAGTAGACTCGCCAAGAATGTTAGCTATTTACTTATTAGCTATTGTTATTTCAGTGTCTTGAGTTGACATATTTGAATAACATAGGCAAAAATGACAGATCAGGTTGTGTAGCTATAGACATATATTCATATTTTTCTGGGCAAGAAAAATATGTGATCATATTTGTTAGACCATGTGTCTTGACTTTTGGTTAAAAAAAAGTGTTCCTCACATGTCTAGTTTAATAGATTTTTCCAGAGTCATAGGCCACACCCTAATCCTTGATTAATTATTTTGACTGGTCACATGACTGGCCAGAAATGTGAGATTGATTGCTAATATGATTCTGAGAAAGTGCATGTTTGGTTTGAGACAAAATATTTATCAATTCAGCAAACATTCATTATGCCAGGGACTAGAGGGGCTGTGTTAGGTACAAGAAAGAACAAAACACAGCATTCCATGAGCGAGACACCTGGGAAGGACAGATAGGAAGTAGACCATAGTGCTAAAAGCTAAGCAATGGGGTACATAGGAGGTAGGACACCCAATTCTTAGTGGGGTGAAGGCCAATTGGAGAAAGCATCCTAGGGGGCAATGCCAGAGTTGAGTTCAAAAGGATGAGGAAGGTGGAGGATGACCATTCCAGGCAGAGGAAGAAGCCCAAGCAATGGGACAAGCAAGAGAGAGCATAGCCTTGCTGGAAGGGACATAGAACTCAAGGTGGGGCTTGGTCAGGTAAAGCTGGAGAGGCAGACGGGAGCAAGATCATGAAGGGTGGGGATGCTTTGCTTAGGTGTCTGGGCCTATAGGGAATCTTGGACCATCCTTAAGTGGGACTAAGGGTAGGGGGTGGGGTAGTGGCAGTAGTGACCTGATCAGATTTGTGCTATTTAAACATCACTCTGTCCCAGGTGTGGAACATGGATTGGAAGGGGAGGTATAGACTGGAGGCTTGAAGAATAGCTCAGAGGTGGTGTAAAAATCCAAGAGAGAACTGGCAAGGGGGAGAACAAGGCTGATGATGACAGTAGTATTGGGGGAGACGAGTAGCGGGGAGTCACAAGCTAAAATTTAGGAGGTGAAATTGACAGGGCTGATTAGTTGTGAGGGGTGAGCAAGAAAGAGTAGTCAAAGTGACACCCAAGTTTTTGTTTTAGCATGAAAGATGGCAGGTGCCATCTCCTGAGAGAGGGGCACAGGAAATCAATTCTCCAGTGGCAGGTTTTGGCCCATCTGCCTGTCCATCCATCTATCTATCCATCCATCCATCCATCCATTGAACATTCATTGAGCTCTACTATGGGCCGGCCAGGTGCTGAGTGATGAATAAGACATGCATGACCCCAGCCTCACAGAGCTTATACACTTTCGATAGCTTCACCACGACCCTAACATTCAACCTCTGACCCATAGGAGACATGGATTTTAGATGTGCTCAAAATCTAAATGTTTCTATTTGTCCTCTTTTACCTCAGGCACTTTTTGGTTAGAAGTGAATACATTCTATCCCCACAGCCCTTTGGTTTTGTGCTAATCATTTTACACGCACTATTTCCTTCAACTCTCAGAAGAACCTTGGAGGTAGGTACTATTGCTATATGTAAGGAAACCCACAGATTGAAGTGAAGTCCCCCCTGCCTCGTCTTCCTTTTCCTTCTTTTCCTTTACCATTACCAGCACAGCGCCACATCCATCACCTTTCCAAAGCCCGGGGAAAAGCCAGTGGTCCTGTGACCCTCTACAATTCGAGGTGGGAGATGCAGCCCCCACTTTCTCTGCCAACCAGAGAGTCTGAATGCAATATTCCTTCTTCCCTTTTGCAGATGTCCCCCCAGCCACTTTACTCTTAGCCCTTGTTGGAGGACTGCTGCTGTGGAATGTGGCACCGGCTTTTGTCTGTTTCATCTTCTGTGGTATAAGAACGTGGCATTTGGAAGCCGAGACACTAGGGTTCATGCCTGGCTTTGCCACTCACCGGCTGGGCAAGATATTTAAGTTTTTTGAAACTTCATTTCTTCTTCTACAAAATGGGAATATTATTTTCTACCCAACAAAGTTGCGAAGCTTATGTGGCAAATGCAAAACACCGAGCAGGTGTTTAATGCATAATAAGCGCTCAATAGCTGCTCTTCCCTGTTGCTAGGAGACGTAGTCACTGGGAGACTCATTCCCCAACGGCTGCAGGGATAAGGGCA